GCGTCCAAGAAACTTACAGCATCATTTAGAGCCTGGATAAAGTAGTCCACATCCTCTTTTGTGTTGTAGAAGTAAAGGCTAGCTCGTGCACTCGCGGTCACGCCGAGTGCCCGGTGGAGGGGCTGTGCACAGTGGTGTCCTGATCGGATGGCTACACCGTGCTGCATTAGAATATTTTCACCTACTTGAGAAGGGTTAAAAGTAGGGTTCAAATTCTAATTCAGATATAGTACCTGTTGATCGAGAAAGGATGCAATGTCGGTTGGGTGAATGTTTTCAATATTGAAGGAACAGAGCGCAGCTCGTTGAACACTTCCTGTGGGAGCTGGGCCATATATGTGAATGTTAGGCACTGCACGAAGGCTTTCATACAGATAATTCGCCAATTCAACCTGTTTGCAGACAGCTGAGCATCAAAGCTAGTAAACATATTTATCATCTCTATTCTACATTTTCAGTTTTCAGAGTTCCAAGTAACCTAATTTTCCTCTCTTTTTACCTCCGTAGTATCTGGGTCAGGGTCAGGTTATGCCACCTCGATTATTCTCATGGGGTGGACAACCGTCTGATTCTACCACATTTAGTTGTTAAGGTAATTCATAGGATATCAAGTCAGGTTATGCCACCTCGATTATTCTCATTGGGTGGACAACCGTCTCATTCTACCACATTCGGTTGCCACCTCGATTATTCTCATGGAGTGGACAACCGTCTGATTCTACCATATTTGGTTGCTAAGGTAATTTATAGGGTATCAAGTCAAGTTATGCCACCTCGATTATTCTCATTGGGTGGACAACCGTCTTATTCTACCTAATTCATAGAGTATTAAATCCCCAAATGGAACATAACTTGAACCCCACTCATTCTATCTAAGCCTTTTATTGACCACTGGGCCAAATGAGTAACGGAACGATTTGATTACTATGCTATGCATCTATTTAGTTGACAACCTGAAGGCTTCCCACATTCACAATTTTTTCACCCCCAACTCAAGGAATGAGATGCATTATGTCAAAGTACAATCAACTCACTTCATAACTATGAATCTTTTGCATGCCGATTCCAGACAAATAATCAATAGCAGCTCCCAACCCAATTGCCTCTCCAATTGCTGGTGTCCCAGCCTCAAATCTAATGGAGCAGAAAATGAGTTATTAATAGAAATAGACATCACAAAATTATAGAACCATTCAAGAAGTCAGTTATTTAGATCTTACGGTTACTCCAAATACATGAATTATCAAGTACGAAATTATCATTATGTTAAAATACAAAGAAAAAGACAAAATTGCATGCAGTTCACTAACCTGGAAGGAGGTTCTGCGTATGAGGAATGGTCAAGAAATACATCTGATATCATCTCTCCACCACCTAGAGCCATGTAGGACCAAATAAGGACATTAAATAATGACTTCTCATTAACTACCTGATACATTTTTACTTATCTTCCCAAAGAGCGTACCTAAGAATGGAGGCATTGCAGACAAGAGCTCACTCTTTCCATATAAAAATCCAATGCTCGTAGGCCCACACATCTGAAGCATGTTTATTCCTTAACTTCATATGCACAAATGTAAGGCTCAAGATTTTATCAGTAAGAAAATTTCCTAACCTTGTGAGAAGAAGCAACAAGAAAGTCAGCATCAAGCACCTGGACGTCAACAACCATATGTGGAACACTCTGGCATGCATCTACTACCACTTTTGCTCCAAAACGATGTGCCCAGCCAACTATTTCTTCAATTGGAAGAACAGACGCTGCAGAAAGAATTAAATCAAGTCAAGAGAAGGGGGAATGTCCTGTAGTTCTTTTCTTTGCTTCTTCATTCATTGAGTTGTATCGTTATCAAATAGAAGAGTGTACCTAGTACGTTTGAGACATGATGGGTAACCACAAGCTTCGTTTTTGTTGAAAACATCTCCTTGAAATCTTTCAAGTTTGGAATTTCATGTTCACCTAAATTCACAAACTTCAGAACAGCACCAGTCTTTTGAGCTACAATTTGCCAGGGGACAATAGCACTGTGATGTTCAGCAACTGTAATTATGACCTGCACTGAAAGAAAAAATAGTTAATACAGTGTGAGGTTCCATGTACTTAAAAATATAATGAATGCAGGCAAAGCACTTTTATTAACTTAAATCCAACTTCAGAAACACCTTCACAAGATCTCACAGCAATAAAGCCAAACTACACTCAGACACAGATAAGCTCAATGAAGCACAGCCTAAAACTGAGTTTTTAAAAAGCTCCACCTTAGACAATCAACATGAATACGATCAAGTATAAAATGTAAACCCATTTAAATTGACAGATTTTAATGGGAAGTGCAAAGCTTCTCCATACCCACTCCATGAAACTCAAACAACTTGAACTTCCAGCACACAAAATTTATGCACTAACTGATATACAAGAATAGAGACACAATATGCATGAGGTCTTGACACACTCCTATACACCGTTTACTTAGTTACTCTAAGTAATATGCATGCATTGACTTTCATATGTTCATCATCATTAACATCAATTTAAGGTTGTGTCTTAGAAAACTCGTCGTCATAATGCATTGTGGCATTTAATATATGCACATCCTCTTAATATGGAATAACGTCATATTAAGTTATCTCATCATCATACATCTTACATCATCACATTATCATGCATCATCATCATGTCACTTCCCAATTTATGATGATGAGTACAGACGCGTACAATATGATGATGATGATAATCATGCCTCGCATGATACTCAGAGAGTCCGCTGACCTCCAAACGTTGCTACGGACAACTAGCTCAACTATGATGGGTCTAGGGAGGTACGAACCGCCTAGGGATCCACGCTCGCACGTGTGGGTCGTGTGTAGGAAAGTACTACACATCTAATTTGTCCGGACAGGAGGCCACACCTATAATGGTTTTAACGATAGGTCCATAGAACATAAATTGCATGTGTTTGCGTTCCCTGACCCCAATAGTGGGGTCACCTATTGAGCAACAATAGCCAAGTATACAATATTACTCAAAAGAACTCAGTGGATTAACCATACTTCTTTTCGGCATAATAATTAGTAACAAATTTTGTTTCGGTTTCAAATAACATGCACATACAGAATCGGTACATACACATGCATTAAACAGTACATATTTGCAAGGCCATCACCAGCCTTAAACTACTAACGTTGATGCAATAGCCGTCAATACGCACCTCATCTCCTAATTTTAAGTTAGGTATGCCCCAGGAATAAGCCACTAGATTGATAGCTTCAGTTGCATTCCTTGTAAAAACAATCTGACTAGCATCTCTAGCATTGATAAAAGACGCAACCTTCTTTCTTGCCAATTCATACTCGTCAGTTGCCTTCGTACTATAGTCATAAATGGTCGCAATTACAAGTGATCATTGCAGATAGACATCGTTTTCATTCACGTTTAATACCAAAGTAATCTACCTCAAGAAGTGCATGCCACGATGAACATTTGAATTGTAAGCCTCATAGTAATTCTGCAAAGCTTTCAACACAGCACGGGGTTTCTGCGAGGTGGCAGCGTTGTCCAAGTAGACAAGCTTGGAGCCATTTACTTCCTGCAGATCACAACACAGCCATTAACTCCACCGCATAAAGTACTAATACAGTACAACAATAACCTATTGAAACTCAAACAGTGATACTCAATAAAACCTAATTCATAGCCTTAAATAATCTTATAACCAATAGACGACATATGACCATATGATTAATGCAAACAGAGAATCGGCCAAATTAGCAAAGAAAAACATAGAGAATCAAACACACACACACATAAACACAAGAACCTGATGGAGGATAGGGAAATCAGGTCGAGTTATGTGCCCAAGGGAAAGTGAGCCGAGATGCAAGTTGTCGGTTTCCCTAGCGGTGGAAGCAGAGGCAGAAACTGAGAAAGGAGAGGAAAATCTGCGGAAGCTGCAGCGGAGAAAAGAAGGAGAGGAATGGCGGACTGTGGAGGAGAAAAGGGAACTGCAATGAGTAGGATTTCTGAATTGGAGCTTCAGCGCCACACCTTCCATCATCTTCTCCGTCCCCAACCTTGAGAATCGAACAGAGCCGAATGGATGAAACTCATACTTTTAATTCGTTACACTTTCTTATATATACATTTACTTATAAATTTCGATTTTTGTAAATAATACTAAAACAATATACGATTAAATAGTTAACATTCAATAATCCCCTTACATTATATTAGGCTCTTAATCTAAAATTAAATAGTAATAAAAAAAAGTTTAAAATTAAATAATTAAGTTTTTCTAATTTATATTATATCAATCTCTCTTATAAATTTTAATTTTCAAATTCGAAACTAAAATTAAATATTACTAAAAAAAATGGTAAATTTTATTTATCAATAAAACTCTCGAAAATACAAAATAAGAGTGGGATAATAAAAAAAATAAAACTCTTGAAAATACAAACTTTTGGGCAAGTTTTAAATGGAAAAAACATAACTAAAAATTCAATAAAGTATTTTCAATTAAAAAAAAAAAAAAAAAACCAAAACATAACTAAACACAATTTGATTTTAAAAATGCTTTAAAACATCATAAACTTTGAGGTCTGAAAATAAAAAATAAAAAATAACGGGACAAAAAGTTTTTTTTAAAGTCTTCGAGTTCATCCTAAAAGAATTTGTTCTTTTGAACAATCGAATAAATATTCGACTAAATCTAACTTTTTTTCCTAAGAAAAACTGAAAAAAGAGGTGTTACACACAAACCCAAGCTCATCATTTACTCATATTGTGGTCCGAGATTCAAATCTCCATACCCCAATCCTAATAACGTTCCAATTCGCAGAACATTTTGATCTGATGTCAAGATCGGCACTCGCTATAGCAGCGAGCTAATTCTTCGACGCAGTTCTGATGCCAATAAAGATGATATTACAAAAGACCAAAGAGTTTTACCTTTCCATTTCAAAGATGGAGCTGTCAAGGGAAAATTATTTTTGATGGTAGATCAGAAAATATTGGAATCTACGCATTCATATGGTTTAAATCATGATAATGACAAGAACTGATACTCAGAAGCGAAAGCTACTATGCTCACGAGTTCAAGTGAAGATAAATCAGCAAAAAATTCTATGAGAAATACATATAGCTACCATCATAACGACTACTTTAAGGGAAGGTATAGTTCTAACAAATACCGATTCAAGAACCGATTATTTCGTTCCTTTGAACTTTGTGTTCGGATTGATTGCTGATATTGCAACATCAGGAATCAAAAACAAACCTTTTCGCTGGGCGGTGCGTCGGGAATAGGGGGGGGTCTGCAAAACTTCACTGCTGCTGCCTCTACTTGTTCAAATGTGTACAAAGAATAGAGGCAGGCGTCAAAATATATGCAAGAACACGATTCTCGGGTTAAATATCGAAGCTGCGTAGTCGTGTTTGGGGAGGTGAAGAAGACTATGATGTGATTTCAGACAGGTAACAAGTAAAAAGAGAAACTGCATCCTGCAAGTGACTTGAGCGCAGGTCTTCTCGCAATGGGGCAGTAAAAATAGTGTCAAAGCAGCTTAACTGAGCATCACGCGTAGAACCCTCCCCAATATCTGATAAAAGTAATTTACTGATCTCCTCGGCCATCTTTGAGTACACAACTCTGCGTACAGATTAATGAACAACTCAATACTAATCCCTTAATGCTACAATGCTACAAGAACAAATAAATGTACAGAAAAAGGGTCCAGATTTCCAGAAGAGTAGGTGAAAGTTCTTAAGAGGAGCATATTATGGTTAATGAGTCATGAAGAAACCCAGCTGAATCAATCAAATAGCATATTTTATTGTCACAGTTGAGGATTCTACATACCTTGCCTCAACTGGTAATTTGTCACCCCAAATTGCCAATGATTCATTTAATCGACCAAGAAATTTCCCACAAGCAGCATTTCGGCTTTCAAGCGAGTCCTGCAATGTAATAATTTGGAACAAATTCAAATCCAGATCCAAAGCTTTGGATTCAAAACTCGTTTGCTTAGTTGGTGACAATGCTAGAAAAGAAAAGCTTAGGTGTGCGTACCAATTCGCTCGCTTCATCGGTTTCCTGCAAAGAACTTCGTAGTGAATAGAACGATATATAAAGTCCAGCTCCGAGTTCCCAATTTACTATTTCAGACTTGTGGGTCTCCATTGAAGTAGCAAGCTTCCATATATCCGAGTGCTCAGCTGCATCATATGAATGGGAAGATCAACAGATTTTAGCATCAACGTCTTATCCTACTGAAAAAATTAATTAGCTAAATGAAAGACCTGGTATCACGGACTTATGGATGAAACTTGAATATATCCTAAAAAACGAGACGAACTGTATTTTGTTCTAAACCAACACAGAAACTTACAACCCAGTCCCATTAAATATATACGACAATGATAGATCTGAAATCATCTTACTGTTTCCAGTACATGTATGAAGTATCAAAGCATGATCATCATGAAAACCTAGCTATGTAATTAGAGCGAACACTTCATGTTACTGAAAAAGCAATACGAACTCTTACCCGACAGGAATAATCTGTGAGCAACTGAAGTCATAAAAATAGTATGAGCTCTATGCCAATTTCTACATTCAATGAAATGTTCAAGGGCCTCTGGAAGATTTCCATGGTAACTGAAAAAAACTGCCTGAAAAGCAATATCAAACAATTAATTTAGATGGATAGATGGCCATTAAGACAATAACTTTCATTTCCAAGACTATAATATATTCAAGAGAAGCAATGGAAAATTGTGACCACAGAAAATCGGAAAAAAAATCATTTTCATAGTAATTCCCTTGATAGGAACAAAAAAAAAAAAAAAATTGTTATAAAAACGAAGTATACAGGAGCAAGGGAGACAAACGATTACGAAATGGGTACCCAGATAATGCAAACACCTAACAAAAGAACTGTAATTAGAGCCTAAATGAAAGTACTACCACCAGCCATCATACGGATCATGCAATATTCTGTCATTTTGTTTCAATAATAGGTCCCATCAAAGAGTCCTACCAGCATTCTTCTACAAAACCGAGATTCGCACCCAAATCACGACTGTTAGCACAATCTACTCCAAACTTTTGCCAAAACAATCCTCAAGAATTTACTATTCCTCTCTTGCAAGATACACAAAAGAATAGACATGATGCTTTTAAAAAGGAGTTTCTTTCTTCTGCTACCTTTCAAAAATAAATAAAAAATAAAAAATACTGACCCCAAAATTACCGCCATTGTAAGCTTGTACCCAACTTAATGAAAATTCATAAACACATTATTTCACCAAAAATTTTTTTGATAAAAGTGCTCCATTCTCAAGGGGTGCATATTAGTGATAAAATTTACCGCAATTATTTAAGTAGAAGATACAGGTGAAGAAACTTCTATCCAAGATTGAAAAGAGCCATAGCAATCTCAACTAACTCTTTCACAAAGAGTCACGAGAATAAACGAACAAGACTGATGGTAAAGTCCCATTGGATGAATTTTCTAAAATTACCTGAAGTTAAGGAATTTTTACCCTTCATAACACTAGAAGAAGCATTTTAGAGAACTTAGTCAGCCAGGAAAGAGGCAACCATTTTCTAAGAATTTTACACAATGTATCACATAAGACCGAATTGGACCGTTCAATTATTATATTCTAGGGGGTTTTCAATAGTTACAATCTTCGACCATGCGACTAGAATAAATAATTTTAACAACAGCGGCAAAGATACATAGTGCAGCAAATATTAAAGAAGTAAATTTATAGTATACGTAATAAATAAAAATAAGAAGAGAAGTTTTGAGACGTAAAATAGCAACTATGGGAGTATATAACATACCATAGCCTCGTGTAGCCATATTCTTGGAACACCCAAGTTCTCAATAAATTCTAATTGTGATTCTTGTGAACTCCATATTTCACAGTACTGGAATAGGATTTCCCTGATAACTTTAGCCTGGAGGTGTGGAAAATCATCACGGAAAGGCATGTGAAGGACCACATAGATGGCCCAATGACATTGTCCCAAACACAACAATTGAGAGACGAATGCCATATCCAGACTATGCAAATCATTAGAACTGATTGCACCAATAGCTTCCAACACTGCACGTTGATGCCAAATCATGTGATAATCGAGTGGGTCATCTGTTGATGAGAAGGCACTTAACATAGTCTTAAGACAACCAAATTCAGGATCTTCATTAGCATGAAGAAGCATGAGAAAGTATGAGAGGTCAAGACATTCCTTCGAATTAGACTCCAGAGCAAGTTCTTGCGGCTCATCAGCATAAACTGGAACAGGGAGTGGGGCCCTTCGATTCTTAAGAAGATGTTTATAAGAGTGAAAGATTACAGGCAAAGTGGCATCTGGTGGTAGATGATACCACATCAACAGCCCTAGGAATCTCTTCCAGTCAAGTTTAATATGGTGCAAAGCACCATATATATTCCCTGCCAGCAACTCATATAACCTTGTCCGTTCCTCCTCAATGAAGCTGAAATCCATTCCATGCTTTTTCCAAATAGCAAGTTGTAGAGCTACATCTGTGCGATTCACAGTGGATCCACCAGCCTGACTCAGCAAACAAGCAAGTCTCACATCACCTCTAGATGAAGCAAGTTGGACTGCTGCATCCAGCTGCCGCCCAGTCATAAGAAGAAATATATGTTCAAGATAACTGGAATCATTTAATGAACCCAATTCATATTGCACCTGAGGGAAAACACTCTCTTGCAGCCAACAGCTAAATTCAGCCCTCCGAATAAGAGGGAGTGCTTCCAGGTCAACTTCCAGAGAAGCTTCTTTCATATCCTGCATCATGTCTTCCTCATTATCATCGGTCAAATTTCTCAAATTCCCAGTATTTTCCCTTTCAGAAAAAAGAACTTTTATTAACTCCCAGACCATTATCTGATGTGTCAAGACTACACGAGTAGAAGAAGGTAATCCAGGAACTTCAAGTTGCCTTTCAACAATATCTATATAGCCCCTACAGATATCTGAAAGCATTAGACGATTGAAGACAACCTTTTGAAGTTTCAAATTGGAGGATCCCACTTCTTCTTCAAATTCATGATTCATTTCCTTGTGTAAATTTAAAGGAAGATCAAAAGCAAATTCAACTAGTTCTTTACACACTTTACTATTTTCATCTCTGACCACATTATCAATGGCAACTTTCTCTACATTTACTACGGATGATAGGACATTCTGTGAATTTGTACTCCCCACCAAATTTCCAGTATGAACTAGGATGCCATTAGGACCCCATCCCACGCGAAATGACCTACCCATAAACAAACCTGCATCGACTATGTTGCGAGAATGATTTATAGTAATTGGAGTTTCTTGCGTGAGATCCAGCTTAAAACCTTCTGCCTTCCAGGGCTTAACAGGAGTTACCTTTTTTGGTTGGGACAGCAAAATAGAACCCGGAGGACTTGAGTCAAGGCTACCCTGTTTATATTCAAGCAATGCTAATGGAGTCTTTCTGACAACTGGAGAATTCAATTTTTGGCTCGTTCTCTGAGAAGAATCCTTAAGAGGAGATCTCATAAGTTCTCTACCTGTGAATGACTTTTGAAATTTAGGGGATTCACTATAATCCTCAAATTCCTGCTCATCTTCAGGAAATATGACCATTCTCATTTCTTTCATCTTTAATGGATCAAGCCCAAGATGAGCAGGCAGAGAATGGCAAAGCACAGATTCAGTGAAATCCATTGAATTATTTTCATTATTATCAGAAATCTCGTTGCAGTTCATTTCTGCAGAATCTTGTCCTGCATTAGCATCATCCATTACAATATCTTCTTCTTCGTCTTCCGTCAAGCCAAACCGGCTGAAATGGTCAACTGAGAACTTCCATTTGCAATTTTCTGGATCAAATGAAATGAAGCGAGCTCCCTGTCTCTCGGAAATGTACTTCAATTTCTTCACAACATTATCATATTGCCTCTCCAAAAAGCTGGCTGTTATTGACCGGAGAACTAAAGTAACTTCAGCAGGCTTGTTCAGGCCTTGATCAATTACAGGCTTTGTAGTTTCATCTTCATACACAATTATTTCATTCCTATGAAACTTGACAATTTGGTCTAAATCTAACCATCTGATATCAGTCTTCCCAAGAAACTTGACAGATCCATAACCACAACGTCCTATCGTAAAATCTAACACCTGACTAACATAATCCGGATCTTCCAGGACATGGATAGACAGTTCCTCTAAGCTTGGAGACATATAGTAATCAGGAGACTGCAATGTTGGAAAGGAATTTTTAAGCTCCTTCAAATGATCATGAGATGAAATGTCAGCACTAGAGGCAATTCTTCTTCTCTTGTGTAGTGAAGCAGCTTGATCTTCAGAGGTCGTAGCATCAAGATCCGACCTAGAACTTGTAAAGGGTAATAGGTACCTTCTTGCATCATGAACTTCACTGAAATTCTCTGCAGTAAAACACACCAAATTTAATTTTGAACACATTTATACGTAGAGCAACTAGAAACGAGTATTAACTTGTCAGATAAACTAAATTGTCTGCATTACTGAAGTCGTGGACAAAAAGAAAAAGGAAAAAAAGAACAGATTGATCGATCAGAATTCGGCTCAAGATTCCGTTGAGACTACAGCGATATTTCGTTTTCAATGACATTTCGGCTACAAAGCGTGGATGTAACTCAAACCTCAGTCTAGCAACATTCAAGAATATTCGTTCAAAATAAACACCAATAACCTTTCTCTATACAGAACAAGCCAGCATTAACAGAGTAAGAAACACATAAACCAAGGCAACTGCACAATTATGCTACAATTTCTTCAAGCACCCAAAAAAAGTCAACAAGAGCATTGAAAATAAAGCTCCAGAGATGGAAAGAATTACCGGAAACCACTGGCAGACAAGAGGACGACGCCATGGGAAAGAGCAAAGTGAAGAAGAAGGGTTTAGGGTTTTCGCGAGGAAGAAGAAACCAAGTAATCCGTACCGACTCAGCAGTAAATCGAAATAGGAGTTTTGGCCCTCGATTTCTGAAAAGTATCAATGTCCATTTCTCACAATAGACAAAAAGTAAACTTCATCAATAATCACCATCAGCTTCGAGTCTCCAGTGCTCCGATGGGTCTTATTTCGCCGACAAGCTTTCTCCGGTAAAGGGCCCAAAAAATTTCCCGCTCCCTCCAATAATAAGCACTCCCCTTGCCTTAAATAAGTTCGGAAAACAAGGGCCCGCCGGAGGAAGGGCCCCACCAGCAACCGGGCCACCATTTTTGTTTCCATTCTTTGATAAATAACCCTTGTGGTGTTCATAAGTAAAATTAAGGATTTATAGCCTTTTTCTCACCGTGAAATGTCCTGATACTCCAAGAAGACTCGCAAATTTTAACCTAAAACTCGCTAATTTCAATGAAATAATATTTTACACAAAATTAAGTAAAAAAAAAAAAACTTTCAATAAAAATTTACTTTAATATAAATTTCTCGGGAGTTCTATAATTCAATAAATACATATAAGATAAAAATTTACTATTTATCGGGGAAAAATTGATGAACTAACGCTATGCCATGTCATGTTCATGGTAAAAGTTGATTTTTTTTTCGAACATTTTTATGATACTTCTACTTCTAGAGATGGTTCCATCCAATGAAAAAACAATATTTGTTTATTTATTGTACAGTTAAAAAATAAATATTAAATTTATTGTACTACAAAAATATTAATAATCCAAGAAGAGCACGGTAGGTTTTGTCAAATATTATTCTTAGCTCAACCATAGCAAAGCTTAAAAATCAAACTATCAACTTTTGAGACGATAATCAGTATCTTATCTAAGTAAATATGCTCGAATTGACGTTTGCTATTCATCCGAGTAAATGAAAACTTGTCACGTAATTATCATCTCCTCATAAAGCAAATAAAAGAATGAAGACAAGTTTGGCAACCATATTCAAGGAATCCATCAATGATTTTCAGTAGTTCAATCTATGATTTGTAAGAGTATCCTTACAGAGTATAATGTGCACATGAAGACAATTTAAATTATGAAGGCAGGGCCAACATGCAGCTTACAAAACCAGGCTAGGAAGCGGGAGAAAAGCTTCCATAAAGCAAATAAAAGAATGTTCCTGGGGGAGTTGAATAGAAGACGACGTCGAGGCGTTATAAACGTGTCGACGAAGGAAGTAAACAATCATATATTCGCTCAATGCGCGATGCAATTACGAGTTTATCTCTTGTTGGAAGGCTGGGCTTCCCGAGTTCCAGAAGATCCTGCCTCAAACTGTTAACAAAGATTATAGCTTTAACATAAATGTAGTAATAAGGAAAAACCCAAAAACTAAACTTTAGATTAGTGCAAGTATTCATTCATTCAACGTTCAATTTTAGTATACACCAACAAAAGCTCTCTTTCTGCTGCTTATTCCGTCAGTTTCAGAATAAAAACATGCAGTGAACTCCTCGGTGTGTGTGAGACCTCTGGTAAAATATGGAAGGGTTGGGGAACTAAAGTTTCCATAAACAAACCACAAAAGCTAGAAGTGCAAGCAAAGGAGGTGATAATGAGGACTATTAGTCGAAGGATTCCTGGTTTCAAAAAGCATATTTGTTTCATCCTAATGTCGTGTTTTCATGTCAGTTTCCACAAAAACAATGGCCTATTTCACCAAAGAGTCCAGCAAACACCTTGCTCTTCTGGAACACATGCTGAAATTGAATGGAAAGTAATACCTAGAAAGAGAAAAGGAAAGCTGAGCTAAAACTTACGCTAGCCATTCACCAGTTGCTTTGGCATGCTTCTCAGAAGCATGGTATAGTCGACCCAAACTATACAACAGTAACCCAAAACTACTTTCTGCATTTTTTACCTGCAAATCAATAAATAAAAAAATATATTCTCATTAGGATTAATTGTTCTATAACGCTTATATTACACATATTGATCAGCAAAACATGATTGTTATAGCAAACAAAATGTGTAAAAACAGAGAAGGAAAGTGTTTGAGAAGCAAACGAGTTGATGGAGCTCCTTACATGTCCTTGGTCAACAGAACTCTGGTATTGCATAATTGCTTTCTCCACCTCCACAACTAATAGCCTTCTCTGAAGCCGAGCAGCTCTTCCCTTCCCTTCAGCTCTGGTATCCTAAATGTCAAGATCAGCAAATAGTTGACTCTCTTTGTTATCATTTACAGCAACATTAGACAAAGTAAAAACTAAATGACATGTAAAGAAACCAAGGTGTACCCAACATTTCTGTTTGTCTAGTTCTTTGGGTAGAATTATTAAAGCAAGCAAGGTGTGCCTATGGGGTATGGACCTTAGGGGTTTGAATACTTCGACCAAGTACAAGGGTAATCTAGCAAACTTGATGGCTAGGGGGCAGGGAGGACTCCTGCTCAACTTCACGACCGACCAACAGATGAAGGTATCAGCACTCTAGAGTGACTGCCTAAGTAATTTAAAGTCCTTGTCGAAAGCGAAATCTAATTTGATAGAGGAAACAAGTAGAAACAAGATCAAAATCACACTGTTTAAAATGTTCATAACTTGCATTAGTTTACCTGCATATACCATGCACGCAAAAGCATCAACAAAAGAAGTGAGATAAAGAATGCTGGCAATGCAGCTAGAACAGCGAAATTGATTTCATTTGCCTTGAGAATCTGGTCAAGCTCAAGCATTGCCCTATTTAAAAGCCATCATAATAAAAGATCATGGGCATCAAACCAAATCAGGAAGATCAAGTTACATAACGTTTTGTACACCAAAGATTGCAAGTTTCTGAAACTTACGTCTCAAGATCCAATTTTAGCTTCTGCACCTGCATAAACACAAAGAGAAAACAATCAAGTATGATGTACCAGTACATATGGAGAAAATAATTGAGCATGTATCAACCTGGATAAGCAAAGCACGGGCCAGTTCTCCACTAAGAAGGTTTTGAACGGGATGCCTCAATTCTTTCTCATACCTAAATTAGAGGAAACAACGGATATCTATCATCAAGTAAAATCATTCACTACATCAACCAAACAAATGCACGTTGATATCAGATTAATGCAGTGTTCTTTTTCATAGAGAACATGGTTTCAGAATTAGCATTGATATAAGAAGAATAGCTATGAAGCTTTAAGCGAAAGCTCTTCTAGGAAGGAAAAGTTTTTAGCCAAAGGACTAGTTGCCGTTCCATTCCTATAGGTACCACAAAGAAAGCTGTACAAGCATTCCTTTACCAATATAGAAACAGCCAAGCTAACCCCAAAACAACCTAATTATGTTTCACATTTGAGTCCCCACATGAAGAGAGAAGTAAGAGGAAACATGCATGTTGCTTAATGTTGACCAAGCAGATGATATAAAGTTAATATAGGAGCCAACAGAAGTGTCCTAAAATGATTCAAGGAATCATTAGAAACCCAAAAGCAGAAAGTGAAATTGGCCTAATACGAAGAATGACACTAGTTGATGTGCATATTAATGACTTGTTGACGTCAGGGCTGAATTGCCAATGCACTGATTGTGGAATCAATGGAATCTAGAAAAACATGGTCCAAAGAAGATGCAAAGACACTAAATTCAAGCACCCTACAAAGTTCAACAGTAGATCAAACTTGAAACAAGATATGGAGGATAACCTGAACATAACCTTCGCAAACATTTCTTCATCTGATGCAGCATCTGCAAACTTCCGACCTTCCGTGTGCTCACTGAAAGCATGTAACATTCTGGAAAGAAGATGATGTTGATTTAATATTTTTTTCATTTCCATATAAAAACATATGGATATTGCCGCAAATTTAGGCCTTGTATGAGAATTGTTTTCAAAATAGTTTTGTTTTTCAGAATTAAAATATCAGCAAAACAATCTAGCCAACGCCTTTGAAATTTGGTCTGTTTTCAGAGACTCTATAGTTACACTAGAATTCTCTAAGAGGTCTCTAATTTTATGATTGGAGATAGAGATAAGATGTGCAAGATTAACATTTTTTACTCCAACAATAAACCGGTGCTCAAAGTAAATAGTTTAGTACCCTATTGGAGAAAAATTAAGTCCGTGAAGGATAAATCACCTGCGCAGGGAGTCGGTAGTTAACTGAACATCTTGACCATCCATGATACCTTTATGCCTCTTTCTAAATGTAGCAAAAAGTTCATCTCTAATTGAAATAAGCTGCAATACAGGGAGTCAGAATATCAATTCCATAGAGTTTCTGAATGCGTTGCTAAAGTCATTGATAATCAATCAGACATTGCATGGGCATCAATCCGTTTTTGTAGGTGCTGCCATAACTAACTAAACATTTACAATAAATAAGAAGAACCCGTACAAATACAAAGAAATCTATGTTGAGAGAATAAAAGCACCCCAATTAATAAATAAATACAAATATCACCAGGAGAATTAGACTAAAAAAAAGTTCAGAAAAAAGAACACAAAGTTCAGTGTCCTAGTAATCAACCATAATTAAAGACCCAACCCAAGAAAATAAAACGCAATGGTAAAGAAAATTGACAGTAGAGCGCTACATCATCAAACGAGACGAAGGACACCAAATCAAAATAGTAAAAGTAGTACCGGTTGTTGTACATGATCCTTGAAAAATTTAGCTGCTGAATTATGTGCTTCACGAACCCAGTTCTCAATGTCATTGCTCCCCATTAATTTACTATGTTGAAGAAGCCAAACAGAGCAGACTGAGAGGCCAATTGCACCACAAGTATATTTAAGCCAGTACCGAGTTAATTTTTTTGGCTTTCGATGTTTAAGAACCTAAAACACACATAAATAAACTCTGCTTAGTGAAGAGTATTCATACACTATCAAGAATTAAAACATCACTGTAGGGAATTTCCCTAAGGTGCTCGGAAACTTTGTTTTCGATACCAACCTGAAGGGGAGCACTATAGTTTTTTGCTTAACAAGAAATAACTTTTCATTAATATAATGAAAAGAAATCAAAGTTCAAAAGATACGAACTCCCAAAGTGAGTCAAAAAGGAAAAAAAAATACAAATAGAAAATACAACCTTATAGAGATTAGCTAAGAAAGTAAATAAAAGATTTAAAGAACCGAATAGCTACCTTCAAATCTTCTAAAGAAAACTATATTTGTGTTAAAGTGCAAACAAAAATTAAATTTACTATAACCCATCAACTTAAAGCTTTTGGGTTCAACAATGATTAAAC